AAGCCTAGTTGGTCCACGATTGGACAATATTTACCAAATAAGACGAAAGTAGTACTATTCATCGGGTTGAAAAAAGTTGCAATCTAAACAAGGCCTAGGTCTCGTGCGGGCGCCGCCCACATGGCTTGGGCTACGCCTACGGGTACGGCCCCGACGACCGCGCTCCGGCGACTCCGCGCCTGCCGCCCCGACGCCCGACGCTTGCTGCCCGACGTGCCCACTCCGAGGTTTGCCGACGCCCGGAGGCGTAAACGCCGCAGGTGAAGTTTGGCCAATGGCATAAAAGTCTTTTTACTTGTGTCAAAATTTCATATGTTTCGTTGAAATGTTCGAAATTCCACATCTGCTAATTTTTGTTTTAGACTCCAAACGTTGGGCTTTGTCTATTTAGCCCTGGGTGCTGCCGCCGGCACCATCTAGCCAAGGCGGAAGCTGACACCGCCGCGGCCTGCACAGTCTGACAGAGCCCGTCGCCGTCTCTTCCCAGTATTGCCGAGGACCGCCGCCCTGTCTCTGACGGAGATCGCCGCCGAGAAAAGCCGGAGGTTGCCGCCCTGTCGAATTGGAACGCCACGGCCGGCAGCAACTCCATCAAGGTAATCTTCAGTTGATTGTTTATGCTGTATGTAAGTAACATTCAGTCGTGGTAGAAGTTGATTGTTTAGAATTGGGGATGAAATTGAATTGAAGCTTAATTCCAGGTTGAACTTACTTTAGCCAATCAAACATTGTTTGAACATTGATTTTATTTTGCCTGGATCTGGATGTGGCAACCCTGTTGAAGTAAATTAGCACTGCACATATATATGAGTTATAGAAGACTAAGATTTTGGTTCTTGTTGATTGTCTTCGCAGAAGATTTTCTTGGATACAGTTAGATTGCTTGCGAAACACACAGATAATCTTGTGATGAGCTCTGGTGTTACATAAAGCACGGAAAGCTTGTTCAGACTGCAGTCCTGCTCCTGGCTGCTCAAAAGCATATCCGTACAAGATCTTCCTGCGACGGAAATGGAAATTACAAGTCAGATGGGTTTGGTAGTACCATTAACCGTATTCGGGACCACACGTTGGAACTGGAGGCGTGTCAAAACAGAAAGAATGACAAGGAGCAGGAGATGGAGAAAAGGCTTGCTCGTACTGTGTTGATGCTTGTTCGTGCAGTTGCCATAGCTGGTGAAGTTCTCGATGCATATATTCAATCATATCCGAAGGTACCAAATTGTTTTTTACAGTTGCAGTGCCTAGTATTCCTGTGCAGTGCTACTTTTATCCCCAAATAAATTAACTTCTGAAGTTGTCCTGAATCAAACTTTTGTAATTTTAACCAAATTTATAAGAACATAAATAATTTATATTTATGACACAAATTAGTATCATTAGATACACCGTGAAATATATTTTTATAGTGTACTTATATTTGGTGTCATAGATTTTGAAATTCTTTCTTATAAAAGTGATCAAACATACAAAAGTTTGGCTTTAATTATGAAAGGTGATTTATTTGGGGATGGAGAGAGTATGATCTACTGTGTCGCATTGACATTTAATATTCTAAAAAAAGGCATGCCTAAAGGCATCTTTCCCTGTGCTTGAGAACATCTTCCCAGGTTGAACTTGGGGCCTGCATGTAACCTAATCGATAAAAGATGCTAGAACTACTCAGATCAATTGAGAGGAAAAGCAAACGTCCAGTCTACAAACTCTTTTTACTGGTGTGTTAAGGATTGTGAAAGAACTTTGACAATTTCAAATGCATAAGATAGTTTAATTTTGATTTCTTTCTAAGTTGTATTCGCGAAGTGTCAAATTGTTTTGTATCATGAGACATTGTTTGCAGATTGTCAGCTGTTACATTCTAAAAATTATTAATTTACTTCGATACAGTTGGTATATACACAATAGTAGACCCCTGTAACTCCTGATCCAATTCAGCAGCTGAAAGATATTATCATGGAATCAGTCTGGTTAATTTGTTAATTATATCTCTGGTAATTGATACATCAGCTCTAATGACTTCTTTTCCTGAAATATTGGTTTATAAAATTGATATGTCTATGTAGAAGTGTGTTTTGTAATTATGTTGGATTATTACCAGTAATCTTGAGGCTTGTTTTAGATCAATTGCATATCCAAATATCATTTGGTAATTTCGCCATAAAGATGACAAACATTATCTGTTGTGCAACCACTGACAGCCTCAATATGGAACATATATCTATAAATGAACATGTCAAATCATGAATAACTTGTGTAACTACATTTTACTGTTGCTAACGTGTTAAAGGATTGTGCAAACTTTGACAATTTCAAATGCGTAGGATAGTTTAGTTTTGTATGATTTGAGATTCCCCTAAGATATCTTGCAAGTAATTCACAAGAACCTCAAATAATGAATTTTTTTTGGACTTATATTGATATGTGTGCCATGCATGCTACAATTATTGTTTGTAGCTCGTATTTATTGAAAATGGTTTAAGTACTATTCTTTTAGTTACATTGCAGTAATGTCCATCATCTCTCAATCCATCGAGTGACTGTGTTGTGTGTTCCATTACAGCCCTATCAATTGATTCAAATGTCTAACAAGTAAAATATATCATGCTCCATGCAGGTTTCCCATAACATGCAGGTGCCCCATGAGGAGGTACATGAACGCGTCTCCTCGATTCTCAAGGACCGTGGTTTTTGTCCTAGTGAAAAAGTCATCTGCATTGGAAAATTGAACCTCCTTAAACCCTTGCTTTCCTTTGGTTATAATAAATATTTGTTCAAATATTCATTTCTTCTACTTGTTCTTGAAGCGATCGTTATGAGGATGTATTATCTAAAGAAGAGTCACCTTACAAACATGGTATGCAAGCATTCGTTCTGATCAAAATCTCATTCAAATTTTGAAACAATAAGCCACAATGATTTTTGTGATGGAAAACAGGTGATATGAATGCCATCAAGAAAGCTAAGGGAACCCTATGTCAGCTTGCTGAAGCGGAAAAGGTAAAGATATTCATACGATACTGTTGTATGTCCATCTCATCGTTCATGCGTAGGACAAAGTTGACAATCTCCCCATTTGTCTTGCTTTTCATGTTTTCCTTTCCCATTTAATTAATATTTCACCTAATTTAGAAATCTATTCGTTATTGCGATCTCCAAATTTTCTACAGAGGTTTATTATCGTAAGACTATGGCCAGGGTTCTTGTTATTTTACAGCTCGTGTGCTTCTTTTTGGTTGTCTTATTGAGCCTTCTTTGGTAGAAATATTTGTGAAACGAAGGCAATTGTGCCACGAGCTAATCTCTTGAGCCAACAGCTTGGGGGTTGTTTGGTAGACCCTTGCTTTGCTTAGCAAGCTAGCATGCTTGGGTAAGCTTTTCCTTGCCGAGTTAGACGAGCCAATCTGGCTCTCCCGCGCTGGCAAGGCGAGTGGCTGGTGCATGCGCAAAAAAAAAAAAGCTATTTGAGAATAGCACGCATGGGCTTATGATTAGCCAAAAGGATGGGTCCCTTGCATGCCCCCAAACGCATGCCCCTGTCCTTGCTTAGCTTTGCTGGGCATGGTTAGACAATCTTACCTACCTAGCTTGTGTTGGCAAAGGAACCAAGTAGTCTCTTAATGTGCTTTGTTGTTGGCTCAAGAGATTAAGCTATATTAACGAGTCAACAACAATGCACATTAAACAAGGGATGGAGGTCATAGATGCATAGGCATCAACCAAGCCAACACAATAGACTCATAGGAAAGCTCAAGAGTTAGGCTAGACAATTCTATTTCACTGGACAAAAATCAGTGGGTCCTAGAGGGTCAAGTAGGGTTGTGAGAGGCAACAATCACTTGCACTCTTTTATAGTTGTGCTTATAGAATTTGCAGTCGGTTTTGCCAAATTCTAATTGTTGCGGTTGCTTCAATATCATCATCTATGATTTTCTACGAGATTCGTCTATGTCTTAATATGGTGCAAGCTTATGTCATACTCACAATATCTTTTCAAATATTTGAGGCTGTTGCGCATAACTAGGGACATAAGATTCCAACATCAACCAGCTCCTACTATTTTAGAACACTAAATGCAAGGGCACTTCAAGTCATTTTCTTTTGTGAATCCTCAAACTTAGGACTTCGTTAGCATTTAGGGCCCACTCAAAACACCCCTCACATAAAGGAATGTAATACCCTTTACCTTTTGACTATAAATATCTAAAAACTATATCGATTGACAACATAAGATTGGTATTACTAGGTTTAATATGAAAAATAATTTCATAATATATAACTCTTTACATATAAGCTTATATATAAGCCTTGTAGACCGTGTCGATGTCCTAATGGACTTGTATTTCTGATCAAAGGAAGCAGGTACTATGCTCAACCCACTCATAGAATAAGTCAGCTAGTGGAAATGCTCCTTATTAGTAGCTTTAGTGACGTTGCATTTTTCTGTGACATTAAATATAGACAGTGTTTGGTTCGGATGATTGTAATGTTACTCATCTACGGAGGGTAATAGATGCTGTTGCCTGGCGTTTGTTTTAAGCCTCGTGTAATTGGATCACGCCACAATCGGATACGAGAGACTTCACAAAAGCGATAACGCTCCCACCGTGACAGTATCTGCTACTGAATGACGTCTCCGTTAGCCTCGGATCGTGGGTCCACCTTGTTTGCTCACGCGGTCACGCAATCGTCAAGTCGAGCCAAGTGAAGAAAAAAACGAAACGATAAGATGCAAGTAAAATCTGGACGTAGTAGCTTCTGTTACGGAACGGTGTCTCTCAACAGACACCCCTTCGGTGATCTCATCAACGATGCCATGAACAGATACATGTTTATGAAGTGATCTCATCCATCAATTACAAGATTAGTGGATATGATTAGACAGTTAGTTTTACTCTAAAGGGCATGTTCTTTGGGAGTAGTCGTGTCCCTTCGTGACACCCCTTCACATGTATAAATACATTTTAGAGATCAATGAAAGAGGTTGTTCTTCCAAATCTTGTTCATTTTACATTCACTTCTAACACGTTATCACGCACTCTGCTCTCCCTGAGAGCGCCGAGAACAAGAGGCACAACTGCCTTACCGGCGACGTTTGCACTGAGTTCGGCCACAGAAGAACGAGTACAGCAGTACACAGACGATAGATGGCAAGATGCTGTTCTTCGTAGCGAAGTAGTATAGAAGAACTTAAGGTTCTCCATCTCAGGCAAGAAAATCTTCTGAGGACGAATGCTCACGCCTGCGGCAGCGGCTGCGACTGGCCCGAGGCCATGACTCGTCGACATGTCGTGGTAGCGGCGTTGAACAACTCCAGCACCTGGCACGCCCCAACAGCGGTCACTGGCACCATGCTTTTCATTCCCATCGGCGTCGAGGTGGCCGGCAGCGGTGCTCGCGCACCCGCACGTTTGCACTTGCTGCGGCAACGTCCGAGGCGGCAGGCAGCCCGACGGCAGTTCGCTCGCAATGGCCTGGCGGATCCAGCGTAGTGCAGCGGTGACGCCCGCCCGCCCGACCTGTGTCGGCGCCCGCACGTGTTGTCTGTCGTGGGGGCGCACCTGCCCCATCGGCGATGGCACCGGGCCTCGCAAGCCTCGTGCGGCCAAGCGGTCCGCGGCCGGACGCACGCGGCCAGACAGCCCGCTGCCGAGCGCTCAAAGCCAGACGGCTGGCGGCCCCTTCCGCGCCCACGGAGGCGGCCCCGCCTCTGCGCCTCGCGCGTTCGCGACATTGCGCCGTGGCCGGTGCCCTGCGCGATCGGCCTGCCTCCCGCACGGCCTCGCGCCCGCGACTACGGCCTCGGCACGGCGGCCCCTCCCGCGCCCGCGGAGGCGATTCCGCGACTGCGGCCTTGCCCCTGGCGACTGGCCCCCACGCCCGACGGCCAGGCTCTCGAGTGGCCCCCACGCCCGCGGTCAGACCGGCGGCTAAGGGCCCAACCAGGGGCGGTGGTGGCCGGCTGACTGGCAATGGCGTACACGCGGCCATCAGGCCGAGGGACGCCGGTTCCCAAACGACGCCATCGAGGAACCGTCGGACGGGAAAGGATTTGGATGTGCGTTTTTGCATAAAAATCCTTCATTCTCCTATGAATTACATGATAATCCTAATATATTATTGATGTATTCCAGATTTATGTTTAAGCCCTCAGGTTTTAACATACTGCGGTGTACTATATTTACCCCACGTAAATGCTCATTTTAAACCTTACACCTTAGGTTTAAAATGCAATATGATGCACAATATTTACCTCAGTAAATAAGTATTTTTGAGACCCATGTGTCATCAAGAATTGCATCATGAAATGTACTGCTGCAGATGAATTTACCACTATAAATTCGCTTTCCAGATCCTATGTTTTTCTGGAATTTTTAGTACTGTTCAAAGCGTTTGTCCAAATTAGCAAACCCAATAAACATGTGCTATTAACATTGCATGTTCAAAGTGTTTGTCCAAATTGGCAAACCTAATAAACATGTAGTATAATCATTACATTGTTCAAAATGTTTGTCCAAAATGGCAAACCCAATAAACATGTAGTATTACTATCATGACCTTATTATTGTAATTACTTTGTTATTTGTAATTTTCATTTCATGTAAAGCCCTTTAAGCTTTATTATTTAAAGCTCACAGTGCTTACATTTTTAATGCAAAATCCATTAAATGTATTACCTCATTATTTATATAACACAAATGTTCCACATTGTATGTTGGCCATACACAAGGTAGCGCCATAGTTGCTACTGTGGGATCTACACTAAATTCTTAGTGACTATCCTCAATGTGCGTACCCAACATCATAAATTGAAACATACGGTTTACATCTTTTCACAAGATGACTACCATTAATCAGCATTCGTATTGGCCATACACAAGGTAGCATCATAGTTGCTACTGCAGGATCTACACTAAGTCCACAACTTAGTGACTATCCTCAACGTGCGTACCCAATTCATTTGCGGATTAACTAAGGTCTACATCAATCTTTTAATGATTACCTTAAAATGTGTTTATACAAATTGCATACACCACTTGTCATCTACTGTTCAACAGACTATGTCCATATTATTAGAGGTCTACATCTTTATGATGACTACCTCTAATGTGTTAGCATAAATGAGGTTTACACTATTAACGAGATAGATCTTGTCTTCTATTTATTTTGCATTAATTAATACAGCATCACCATAGCAATTTTAAATTTATCCTTAGCGTAAATTCAGAAAATCTATGGTTTAAACCTTGTTAGAATAATAACTAGCAAAGAGTTTGATCTCTTGCTCTTGATGGTCACCATTATCTAACATGGTCAATGGACGTAATGTTAAACTTGATGTTCTATGGATTCATGGCAATATTTGATGCTCCTTATAAGAGAGCATCACCACTTATGATCAATTTAAATACGGTGTTTTATTTAAATAAAGCACCATATACATCTAGGTCACACGTATGTGTATCTCAATGGGTGCAAATCGAAGCACTATATGGCTAGCTTTTAATGAGTGATACGAACAACACAAGGCAATCATTCTGCCCAATGCCAACTATGATTGGCCACAACTTTATCTCTAGGATCTTAAGTCCACTTGAGAATATAATTATGTGGTTCCAAAATATCCCCCAATATTGCGTTTTCACGAAAGCACACAACTTACCAAATGTATTCTAGATTAATTCCTACATTACTTCAGGTCTAAGTGTATGATAAACTCTTATCGAGGAATCATCATTAGCATTATAGTGATGCTCTATCATCTGAAGTACATTGAATTTTTAGAATCATTACAAGTTCGATGTCATGTAGTAATGCCATCCATAGAACTTTAATGGAAAGATTTAACGCAAAACAAGTAGCAGCCACGTGCATTCTTTAGGGTCAAGGCATTTCCCAAATATGACAAAACCATATTTTGTCCCAATTGTGTATGTTACAACCACACAACTTGGAAATGTCATGCCTTGAAACATTTAATTGATCGTTATTATAAATCCATTGGACATAAATATCCGGCTCAACAATAAAGATATGGAGCACACTTCTATCTTCAACCTGACACCACCAGGAAGACCAGTTGTTCACAACAAGTTTCATAAAAAACCATGTAGCAACCAAACACTTAATTAATAAGTGGGTCTTATGAGCATGGAGAGCACGATCATCGAATTTACTTTGCTTGATCCATTTTGGGGACCAAAATTTGTCTCCCATTTACAAACATACCTAGTATCTACGTCCCATTTTGGTGTTGTAATATAAAATGTTGTCATCAATTTCAATTGAATATCACAATAATGTGCCATCACATTTGATATTCTATTAATTAACTTGTATGTAATCTATATATCTGCAAAGAATGTCATTATATTCTTCATGCTATATATAGACTTATACGGGAGTCAATCCAAATGCAAAGAGGAATTTTGCCTAGTGGATAGTTGCACCACAAACTCTATATATAGGAAAGCAAAATATTCCTAAACTTTTACATAGAGACAAGAAAATATTTTGTTAATCGCTTGACGCGATGTCATGATAGTGGGCTTTGGTCGTCCTACTATCATACTCTCTATTGGTACTTAAATAATAATCATGAATTCATTCTTGTATTATGATTCTAAAATGTACCCAATTAAAATGATAGAGATATCCATCAATGTGGTTTTCATATGGAAACCCCAAGATGACAACTAAGAGGAGTATTTTTCTCTTAACAACGGATATGGCAATACTTAAATAAAACATCCTCATTTGGATTTGACTACATATACATAATATATATCCAATGTTGTGTACAAAATAATTCTCTCTCTTGATGCCAACAAGACTTGGCACATTTGCCTTGGTTATTCAACTATAGAGATAACGTGAGAATTATTGTCAATTCTATTGGTCATAGCATCAATATGAGCCACTAAATTTCTTGAAGAAATTCAAGAATATACATGTGACTCTATTTACCATTTTATGGACCATAAAGATACTATGTAATGCACATTTATGCATCCATAATATAGTCCCAGGTGTGTCTCTTAGTCATGAGAACCATCACTATACCAAACTCATTGCTCAAAATCTTTAATTTAGAGCAAATTATCCTGGACGCGGGATCAAATCCATTTTATATGGAACTATTTAGTTTTTGGGTACTATATATCAAGTACCTTATGTCCATACCAATAATGGTTTTATTTAGTCTCTTATTGAGAATCAAATTGCATGACATATTAAAATAGAATTGTAATTTACCAGAACTAAGTTGTTTTCATGCGGCCTTACACACCGCATCGTTAATTCAAATTCATCAAGCTGCACTTATACAACTCCCTCCGTTGTAGTATGTACGTGAAACTTTGGCCACAGCCAAACATTTCCCATCTGCGCATCGAGTATGTTTTCACATACCCATATCACCACCCCAACATACCAATGGACATTAGGGATCCCAAGAGGTAACTCTGCAAGGGATTTATAAATTGCCCGTATGTTGATCACATTTGAGGATAATTCCAGACATTAGGGGGAGATTTATACCACATTAAGAATGCCAGGAATCAAAAGAGCAATCCTCAAATCCACGTACCACAAATTCTAAACCTAATCGTTTAGAATGTCTTATATTTGCATCATATTGCAAAGAATCTGCCAGAAACATTTACTGATAATAAGGGTGTCACAAAATCCTCTTATCCTACTTATAATGCTCCCGAAAGAATGGAGGTACCAATTAAAACCATTCAACTCCCATTTCCAAAGAAGAGGGGGAGAAGTACGGCCGCTCCTAAGGATAATGCTCCAAATAAGCGTCCAAGGATACCAAGGACAATATCCTCCAAATCAGTAAATTCAAGCCAGCCTCAAGTTGGTAGACACCCAAAATGGATGAGCATCCAAAATCCGGATCAAAATTCACCCGGATCAATGGTGCACCCAAATTCTGATCCTGGGACATTGGAACACCCTGACTCCATATGGGAAATGACTCGGAGTCCAAAAGGGTTAACATTTTCACATGCCATATTGATTTCAAGAACCGAATCAATCATTTAAAGACTACAAATTGTCGCGGCATATACTCCTCAAAGATTGCTTTTTTACCTTACTGGATTCAGACCAAAAGTCCTAGGCAGAGTGTCTTCACACTCAAATTTGGTCAAACTAAAAGGTGGCAATTAAGGAGATTGCTCTTGTTCAATGATGAGAAGTATTACCATAGTAATATCTTCCCTCACAGAGTTTCTTTTCAGAAGCAAGGTGGTGAACAATGAGAGCTTGTAGCATATGGTTTCACGCAGAGACCCAGCATAGCATACCCCATGGTATGTGTGAAAATGAAGTTTTTCAAATTCAATAATTGGCAGATCAAATGAATTTGATAGATTCAGACATATAAGTCCCAATGGACTTCATATTCTGAATCTAAATACAAATCGCAACATACATTGTGTATAATTAAGCATGATTGCGTATATTGGTTATTTTGATATCATCATGATACAGAAATAATTATGCAATCATTTGAGATACAATTCCCATCATGTTGATTCGAGATGGAGGATTTGGG